AGATTTTTAAATTGTCTTTATATCAAATGAAACTTAAGAGACAAATGTTATTAAGTGTTCATGTTCATCAGCTGTATTTATAGCTCACTATAAGCCTGCTCATTAACATTTTTAAGGACTGGATTTAAGTATACCATTTACACAGGGCTTGGTTCTTCTGCCATTTGTTTCTCTAAACTGAACTTAGAGCGAACCCATCCATTTTCCACCTCAAGGTGGAACAGGAAGATAAGGCAGATCTGAGGTCTCCTCCATGTGGAGTTGGAAACTCTTCTCTCTAAAACACACTAAAAGCTGAAAGCTATTTTCTTCAGTGTGAGGAAAGTTAGGTAACCTACGTTTTCATTATAATGGGGTAGGGCTTTTTTGCTTACATTTGGGAAGAGCTGCTCTGGAAAGTGTCGGTAATTAAAAACTTCTATCAGCATATTTTTGTTCCCTGTAAACTTTGTCTATCAAAGAAAATTAAGAACATGAAGTTACATTTTTAAAAAACCTTAATTTGTGCCAAAAACTTACATTAATTTTCATTTTTTGAGACAAGAGTCTCACTGTATTGCCCAGGTCTGAGTGCAATGACGTGATCTCAGCTCAGTGAAACCTCTGCCTCCCTAGTTCAAGTGATTCTCGTGCCTCAGCCACCTGAGTAGCTGGGATTATAGGCATGTACCACCATGCATTTTTAGTAGAGACAGGGTTTCACCATGTTGGCCAGGCTGGACTCAAACTCTTGGCCTCAAGGGATCCACCTACCTTGGCCTCTCAAAGGGCTGGGATTACAGGTGTGAGCCACCGTGCCCGGCTATATTAATTTTTTGGTTCAATAATAAAAGTTAAAACAATGCCTTCTGTTATTTACTGCAAATTTTTTAAAAAGGTAATTTAGCAACTGATCTAATTTAGCTGTCTATCAAGAAAACAAAAACAATCCTAGACACCAAACTCATTGTTGTTTCTTTTTTAGATGGAGTCTCACTTTGTTCCCAGGCTGGAGTGCAGTGAGGCAATCTTAGCTCACTGCAACCTCTGCCTACTGGGTTCAAGCAATTCTCCTGCCTCAGCCTCCCAAGTAGCTGGGAGTACAGGTGCAAGCCACCACACCTGGCTAATATTTCTATTTTTAGTAGAGACAGGGTTTCACCACGTTGGCCAGGATGGTCTTGATCCCTTGACCTCATGGTCTGCCCGCCTCAGCCTCCCAAAGTGCTGGGATTACAGGCATGAGCCACCGCCCCTGGCTCCAAATTCACTGTTTCAAATGTAATCCAAAGATGTAGAAAATGGTCTATCCTGGGCCACTGAAACATAGTTATATCATTGTGATCCTGAACCATTTTCTGCATGGCTCACAAGACAAGAAAAAGTTATTATAGCTACATGTAGCTTGGAAACATCTTGATATTGTAGAATAAACACATCAATTCACACTACAAATTACTTTGTACTTTACAAACTTTATTAAATAATGGGCATTACTAATTTCATTATCTTATATACAGTATTTAAACTATGTTTTCCTAGATGCATTTTTCCCCCCACAAAGAATAGAGCAGGTGAAAAGTAAACTTATATATAAAAAAAAATTGAACCTTCAGTACAGGAAACTAATAAGAACTTGACATACTTTAAAGTACATATAACATTTCCCCATTATATACATCCCCACCCCACCTCTAAAAGAAACTATTTTAGACAAAAGCAATTGATAACTTTGAGGAAAAAGGTACAAACATGATTATATATATATATATACACAACTCTCAAAATCTGGGTCCTGGCCAACAGAAATTATCTATAAAACTACAGATTTGTCCTAAAACCTAAAGCCATGTAGATATTTTATACAGTAAGATACCCACTTACATGCAGTGAGGTGTATTCATATAGGTGACATCAAAGTCATGCAATAAGACACTGGCGTGAAGAAATTTCTGAGTCAGACAGAACAATAATAGGAACTATATAGAATTGGATAATACCAACCAAAAAGCAAAAATGCGAAACAGCTTTCCTGGGACAAGAGTCAGGTAATTTTGTTCATAGGTAATACAAATGCACTTCCACACACCTCTAAGAACATGCTTTCTTGGCCAGGCACAATGGCTCATGCCTGTAATCCCAACACTTTGGGAGGCCGAGGCGGGTGGATCACCTGAGGTCAGAGTTCGAGACCAGCTTGGAAACATGGTGAAACTCTCTACTACCAACACGAAAATTGGCCAGGTGTAGTGACTGGCAGTAATCCCAGCTACTCAGGAGGCTGAGGCAGGAGAATCGCTGAAATTTGGGAGGTGGAGGTTGCAGTAAGCCAAGATCACACCACTGCAACAGAGTGAGACTCGGTCTCAAAACACAAAACAAACTTTCTTGTGGTACTTTTTTAAAAAATTGTTTCATCTTGAAAACTCATATTATGTTTATTTTTATTTATTTATTTTTTCTATTCCAGATGTGGCTTCATTGATCATCTTATGTTTAAGTAAACACAATAAAAGAAGGAATGTTTCCAGACCATGCAATTCAATGTGGACTTTGTTTCATAAGCTTTTTTTTTTTTTTTTTTTTCCTAAGATGGGATTTCACCATGATGGCCAGGCTGGTCTTGAACTCCTGACCTCAGGTGACCCACCCACCTCGGCCTCCCAAAGTGCTAGGATTACAGGCGTGAGCCACTGTGCCCGGCTTGTTTCATAAGCTTTAAGAATACTTTGGAGAAGCAAGAAACTTGGGTTATTTTTTGTTATTTAAAAAGAAAATCAAATGCATTAGGTACCTATTTGTAAGATAAAAATGCTCATATATTATGTCTGACAGTTAAGAAAAAGAGGCATAGGCCTTACAAAGAGGAAAACAATTATGTCACTTACTCAATATTACTACTTACCTTTAAATGAAAAGCCCAGGCCCCTTTCCCTACATATATTATTGTATCTTTTTTTTTAAAGACAGGGTTTTACCATAGTGGTCAGGCTGGTCTTGAACTCCCAACCTCAGGTGATCTGCCCACCTTGGCCTCCAAAGTGCTTGGATTATAGGTGTGAGCCACTACGCCTGGCCATAGTATTGTATCTTTTAAAATAGAAACTAAGAGTGTGGGGGAAAGGCCATAGAATGTGCACCTGATTAAAATGAAAATACTAAGACCACCCCTTGAGAAAACATTCTTGCTGCATTAACTGCAGTCTTCAATAATATAGAATATTTTTATAAAGTCACAATAAATCTGCCTTCATTTTTCTCTTTAGCTTCTTTGACTTTTTTTATTCACAATGCCTTATTTTTATTTGTCTGTCACCTTTCATAAGGAGTTAGATTAGTATACAGTGTCACAACGAAATGTGACAAATGGTCACAACATAAAAGGTGTTATTAGTCAGCACCTACTAACCAAGCATTTCATTCTTTTATATACCTGAAAACAATGAAAAAAGGCTCCCATGTTATGTGTGGTTTAGGAAATAGATTCTTGCCCATTCCTGCAGCCAGTGACTCCTCAGGGCCAGGATCAAGGAGGTCATTTGGCAGAATCCCAAACTCATGACATGCATGTGAAAAACTGCTCTGGAATGGCTAAGTTTAAAGGGCTTTGTCTTATTTTAGCTCATGCTTAACTTTGTATTGGTTAGAAACAGGCACACAAAATAGTCTGGCAGGATTTCAGTTTTTCTCTTTGACCTGTCATTTGAAGAGGTAACCAAGTGGTTCCAGGAAGTCATCCCATCTCTTCTAACAGCTAAGTCAATTTGCATTTTATTAGCCTTGGTTTTCTCTAAGCCATTAAGGAAATCATTCATTTCACCCCAGAAATTATATTATAAACATGATGAGTAGCTCATTCTCTAGGCCTTGTCCGGGAATACAGGTTAGAGGTTTTGCATACAGAAAATGGGTCCTGCTATGTTTTAATTTTCAAGAGTCACACAATTTCTGCATCAAAATGAAATGATAAAAGAATATAAAAATAAAATTAAAAAAAAAAGAATACTAGCATAGAAACCCTAAAATGGGCACCTCAGGCTACATTCCAATTACAAATCTCTGGCTTAAGTTTTCCTAAGGTCTTGCCACAAATTTAACCAAAATGTGAGATATAAGCATAATTCTTTAAACAGCTTTCATTGCCTTTTAAAACACGAAAAAGTCTCCTTGCTTCCTTTGAGTCATAGGATAAAACTACCCTGGCCTTCTGGATAATAGGAAAGGATTATTGGATCATTGCTTTTTTTTTTTTTTTTTTTTTTTTTCGAGACGGGGTTTCACCGTGTTGCCCAGGCTGATCTCGAACTTCTGAGCTCAGGCAATCCGCCCGCCTTGGCCTCCCAAAGTGCTGGGATTACAGGTGTGAGCCACTGCGCCCGGCTACCGCATTTCTTAAGGTGTGGGCACTATTGTCAGGATGTGGAAAAAAATATGGCCATGATGTTAAAAGTCTAAAAAACGTTCAAGTAAGATCGACTTACATGAAACATGAAGACACGCAGCATCAGAAAACACCTTGTTGATGCCAACACGTGCTACAGTACAATCCTGGCTGCATCGTCAGGCATTTCAAAACATTGTGCTGTAAAACAAAGTATATTTTACACCTCTGGTTCTTAATCTGGTACACATAAAACACCTCATCAGTCTCTGTAACATTTTATGAGCAAAAGAAGAAAATTCAGGCAGTTATCATGACCTTAACTAAAACTGCTCGAACTGAGACACTGAAATTTTTCCCTTAGAGACTGGACAATATTTTGTTGATTGGGAGATGGCCCCCTCCAAAGATAGTCATTCAGTTTGTCAGAATCATTATATGGTGTCAGAAATGGCGAAAGCCCAAGTTTGCTGTTAACCTGCTTTTTGGGAGTGCATGGACTATTCAAAGAATGAGATGTGTTGCCACTGGAGGCATTATCAGAAAAGTCAGCATCCACGAACTTTGAGTCAGATTTCCTTCTACGATTGTGAGCGAGCTCCAACTCCGACTCATCTTCTTCTGACTTGATTTCCACATAGTCATCTTCATCTCCATCCATCTCTTTGAAATTGGAAAAATAGTTCTGTGTTGCTATTTGGGCATTTAAGGGTACATTTCTATTGACCACCAAAACTTTCTGTGAGTCTTGGAGTGTGAGATTTGAGAGTTTTTCAGGGCCCTGTTGATGTGAGTCAGCAATATCTGTCAGCAAGTCCTGGTGACTCTCACACCGTGAACTTCTGTGTAAAGACAGCAGCTGCTGCTTTCCCACTTCACTAGGGTAGTTGATGGAGTCCATTGATTTGTTTATCAAGACGGAGGAAGATGACTGGGACCTGTGATAAGGCTGAGATTTAGCGCTGATCCCTTTCCGATCCAAGGAGTTGTACAGATGGCCCTGACACGCGTTCTCTTTGTGGGGCTGACTTACTACCACACTGCATCTCTGCATAGAGTCCAGCAGAGGCTCAGAGGTTTGAAGAGAAGGCACGGAGCAAGCTGCGGACAACTGCCTGGGAGTACTTTTTGTATTGATTTCAAACGTGGGATATCTTGATCTCAAGTCTTGCTCTGGTGGGGGACAGAAATCTGCCAGCTCTCCATTACTATAGGTTGAGTGCAGAAGCCAATCTTCACTGCCATGGTGGACCTGGGAAGGTGACGCAGCCCTCAGGAGGGAGGATGCTTTGGAGCTGGCCCAGCCATCCTTCTGAATTTTCAAGGGAGACTCTCTGAATACAATCTGGTCATACAGCTGAGAATACTCAGCAATCCTAGCACCTGGAAGGCAAATATTGAAACAGTAAATACACACAGGATAATTCCTATGTGTGAAGATTAAAAATAAGAGTATAACATGCTGCTCAACATATTTTAAAATTTTAACAGTAGACAAGACTAAGTGATGTTTAAGGATGAGTAATCACTGAAGTCTAAGCAACACAAACTAGTAAAAAAAAAATCCATGGTTTAATATAAATAAAAATGCCACCTAATAGTTCATTTAGTTCAATCTAATTCTGCATTATTTTGTTTCAATAGCCGATCTGCAAGTGTCCACTACGAATAATGCAAGTTTCTAGTGTTCTTTATAAGCATGAAACAGTGTCAGTGCTGAAAACATGCATCATAAAAATAGGCAAGTCAGCACTTCAGGCTGGTCAATGAGAAATCATTCAAGCAGTCTTTAAAAACAACATAGAAGGACTCGGTTTGGTGACTCACGCCTGTAATCCCAGCACTATGAGAGGCCAAGCCAGGTGGATCACTTGAGGTCAGGAGTTCAAGACCAGCCTGGCCAACATGGTGAAATCACATCTCTACTAAAAATACAAAAATTTAGGCCAGGCACAGTGGCTTATGCCTGTAATCCCAGCACTTTGGGAGGCCGAGGCGGGCGGATCACAAGGTCAGGAGTTCGAGACCAGCCTGACCAAAATGGTGAAACCCGTCTCTACTAAAAACAAACAAAAAACCGACAAAACTTAGCCAGGTGTGGTAGCATGCACCTGCAATCCCAGCTACTCAGGAGGC